CGAAGCGCGGAAGCTATTAAGCTTCCTTAAATGATTAGAGAAAAAAGACGATTCGTTGTACCGTTTTCGAAAATAATCCTCGTCTGAATTTAGATTCTCCTCCCCTCCCGCGCGAAGCGCGGAAGCTTTTACGTTTCATTAGAGAAAACAAAACGATTCGTTGTACAGTTCTCGAATATAATTCTCGTCTGAATTTAGTTTTTCCCCTCTCGCGCGAGGCGCGGAAAATTTTAGGATTTATTAAATTATTAGAGAAAGAAGACGATTCGTTGTAGAGTTCTCGACTCTAAATTCTCGTCTGAATTCAGGTTCACCCTTCTGCGCGAAGCGTAGAAGCTTTTACGATTCATTAAATCATTAGAGAAAGAATACGATTCGTTGTACCGCTCTCGAAAATAATCCTCGTCGGAATAACCCTCCATCCCGCGCGAAGCGCGGAAGCTTTTACGTTTCATAAACATCATAAAAGATCGGTATTACCGTTCTCGCCTCTGAATCCTTGTCTGAATTCAGGTTCCCCCTCCCGCGCGAAGCGCGGAAGCTTCACGTTTCATAAGATTATGAGAGAAAGAAGACGATTCGCCGTACCGTTCTCTATTGTTAATCCTTGTCTGGGGCGGCGGCGAAGCCGGCCCAGGAAGCTCAGAGGTTTTAGGCGTTTAATTAAGGCCATATGAGCAATTTTTTTTTGTATACCTTATTATTTCGTGACACTGGCAGGTAACTATTTGGCGTTGAGTCCAGGGGGCGGAGCCCCCCCCCCCCCCCAAAAAAAATCAGGGGTTTTAGGCACTAAATTACCGTCAGATGAGCATCTAAGGGCCTGTCGTAGGGCCCTAGGTGGGATCCAGGGGGCAGAGCCCACGGAAGCTTAGGGGTTTTAGGCATTTAATCACGGTCAGATGAGCATATTTTGTTAACACTGGCAGTTAACTATTCTTTCTTTCTTGCTCTCATTCTATTTTATTTCTCTTTAATATACTTTTTCAAAAAAAGTGGGGGGGGGGGGGGGGGGGGGGGGGGAGGGAGCTCGAGGCTCCCGATTCCCGCCGTACCATCGGGCCCTGACATGTAGGAATCTCAAGAATCATATTTCTTGCCTGTCTGCAAATTTAGTCATTTTAGTCATTTTGTCATTTTCCAACAAACACATACAAACGTATAATTTACTAAAAAGTGAGGAAAAATCTAGGAAATGATGTCATTTCAGCATTATTTGTAATCCACCGTTGTGGAATTAGAAATAAACCACGTTTGAATTTGATTTCCACTAAGCCCCCCCCCCCCTATCAGTACGCCAGTATCTCCTCTTTTTGCTTTCCCTTTCTTTCCTTTTCTCTTATTTTTTTATGGGGGGGGGGGGGGGGGGTCAACAGCCTGGGAGGCAAGGCCCTTTCGGCCCCCCGATCTCCTTCTTCCCCCTTTTCTTTTCTTCTTCCTCTTCTTTCTTTCCCTTTCTCTCCTCTTTCCCTTTCCCTTCTTTTCCTTTCTTCTCTCTTTTTTTTTTTTTTTTTTTTTTTTGCGGGGGGGGGGGGGCCAAGGCCCGCTCGGCCCCCCCCCTGGATCCGCGCCTGGTGTCCCCCCTCCCACGGTCGGGAGCTTTTGCAATTTTGAACTTGAAATCGTGCAATCTGATGCATACTTAATGAGGTAAAATAACATACACAAGCGTGCACGCACACACACACATTTTTTTTTTTTTAAACAATTTTGTTTTATTTCTCCAGATGTGTAATACAAACCATGACATACAATTGAATAAACGTGTTCAATATTGATGCTTTTACATAAACATGATTAAACACAAACTTATTTGCAGTATAATATAACTTAGCAACAAAGTAAACGTATAAGTACCTAAACATAATATGTCAATTGTAAATGTTATTTACTTATATATAATACAAAAAAAAACTTAAACAAATCTGGAGGTAATTTTACTGAAATAATCCTGCCCCCTCCCTGCCCCCTTCATCACACAAACATACTCACCCTCTATCACACAAACATACTCACCCACCCACACCCATACTCACCCACCCACCCACCCACCCCCCCCCACACACACAGTACTCACTCAGTGGATGTCTGCCAACATTCTCAACTCAAGAAACATATACTAAATAAGTTATCCAGGCCGCAAAATCGAGTTACGCTTTTAACAGGCTCACGGTGGAGAAGAAAGCAATCTTAATTAATCTTAAGCTGCTCCCACTTTAAGAAATGTGATCCTAGCTTTCCCATTTTAATTGCTATTTTCTTTTCCTCATCCCTATACTTAAAACACATACTCTCTCACACACACACACACACACACACACGCTCACACACCCACACACACACACACACACACACACACACGCACACATACTACGCCTTGAATGGACAGACATACATCGACAAGATATACACACCGTGGCATACGAATACAGAATGGACTGACACATAGTATTGCATATTGAACCACACTACGTATTTATTTATCTCTGTGAATTTTGCTGTTACACCTCTTCAGAAAAAAACCCAATGTCAACTGTGTACACGCAGGTATAATCTTTGTTGTCTTGATAGGGGTATGTGGTTATGAATGAAAACAGCCTCTGTGGCCATTTGTGAATAGAACACATAAACAACAAACAAATAACCATTAAACTTTGAACAATATGTCTGTTCATTATAAAGCATAATGAATACGTACATACTATGCTTTTTTTTTTACCTCAAATAAACGGGCATAGTATCCATAAATGGATATTGGCTGGCGGCTCATTAACATACAGATACAAAAAACATAAACAGTATCACTATGATCCATGGAGTAACAATACTGCTTTGTAAGTTTGTGAAGAAATCGGAACCATAACGGCATTGCATCGTTTCAAATTAGGGCATTATTTACTTCTATTTGATCTCAGTCTTATAATAGTAATAGTAATAATAATGATAATAATAATAATAATAATAATAATAATAATAATAATAATAATAATAATAATAATAATAATAATAATAATAATAATAATAATAATAATAATAATACAAATAAAAAATAATACTAATACAAATAATAATGCTAATACTAATAGGTTCCTTTTATCTCGCATTTCAAGACAGGGTAAATTCACACTGCGCTTTACATGAAACAAACTTCTTTAAACATTTCAAACTTATGTCTTCATGCATCAATCAACATACTTTAAATGAATACAAAACAAAGTGCATCTTAAATAAAACAAAAATAAATAAATAGTTAACAATACAGAAAAGATGTAGCTGCTGCAAGCTTAACAACAAACTAATGTATACCAGTCAGTCCTGATATCAGTATTAGTGTAACAATAGTCATATAGTGGGAGCATGAAGTTGAACAATTCATGACTATACATAATTATATATGTTTGTTTGAATAATACTTGTTATAAAGATAGTAGAATGGGACTCTCTGTCACGAATTATTATGTATACTGTTGTATCACATTAATTTTCTATTCTGTTTTAGAATTGGCTTTCACCGTGTGAATGCGGCTAACAATAAACACAATTATAATAATGATGAGGATTATTATTATCATTATCATAAATATTATTATTATTAATATTATAATTGTTATCATTATTATGTTTACTATTATTATCATCATTATGACTTATTAAGTAAGCAAATATCATTCCCCAATACCTGGGGGGATGATTGTACATGCCATCCCCCCCTTGTGAGGTGGGGGCAGTGGCGGATCCAGGGGGGGGGGGGGGCCGGGGGCCCGGCCCCCCCCCTTAAGAAAAAAATCATGTAAAATCACGTGATTTTTACCTTTTTGGGGGTTGGGCCCCCCTGGCCGCTCAAGGGGGGGGGGGTGCAAATTGAAATTTTTGAGGATCAAAAAAAAAAAAAAATTGTGCTCTGTACCCCCCCCCCCCACTGAGCGACTTTTTCGGCCGGCTCGATTTTCAAATTTTCGGGAGAAAAAAAAAAAAATTGGGGCCCCTCCCCTAAGAAATCCTGGATCCGCGCCTGGGTGGGGGGGGGGGGGGGGATGCATCCCCCTCATCCCCCCCCCCCCCCCCTTTGTCTATACGCCCCTGGCCTCTACACCCCCCCCCCCCCCCCCCCCCCCCCCCCCCCCCCCCTGAAAAAAAAAAAGTCTAGCGACGCCCCTGGGTGGGATATGATTATTTACGTCTGTGGACCGACTTTTAAAGTCATCATTCGAAAGACGTGACTCAGCTCAGTTTCGAACCTGCGTCGCGATCCTCGGCTGAATCAGTTTGTGACTTCCATTTTTAGCTGGGTTACAGGCGCACGCCACAACGCTCCGTCGCGTCGGTCCCGTTTATAGCCTAGATTTCAGGCGTACATGGTTATTTACTTACAGCTACAGAAATACGATTGCTGCCCCCGTTGCTGCCGCGGCAGCTAGGCGTTGGGAAGAGGCCCGGGAAGAGGATTATTGTTTGCATCCGATCGGGTACCTTAACACCTGGGTGGAGAGTGGCCATAGAGAAATATCTTGTAATTTAACCAATGGAATTATAAAACTATGCCCTAGCCTTTCTTTATTTCTTTTCTCTTTTCCTTTCTTTCTTAACTTCCCTTGCTCAGTCATGGGGAATATCAGTGGAAGTAGGGTTTGAATCAGAGAGCAATAACTCATTGATGTCTCGACTTGGTGTCGGCTTGGGTTTGTCCATATTAGATCATATTAGATGCAACGTTGGGTAGTTGTTCTCTGAGAGTATTTTGTAAATAGTTTTATATATTCCATATTTGTTGTTGTATTCATAAATAAGTTATCTTTGTCACATCATATGAGGGGGCCTTAACTTAACAAGCTGTGCTTCAACCAAGGTCTCCTCGTCTTCCTTTGTTCTACATTGTACTGTTATGATTATACTCTATTATATTTTGTCACATGTGTTTTCTGGAAGACAAATAAACTTGAAACTTGAAAACTTGAAACTTGAAACTCTGTAAACGCTGTTGCACAAAAATCCAACGCCTGGAAATAAGGTTATATTCACGTGTGTGCATGTGGAGCAACGGTGCGGATTCCTGACTGAGCTCTCTATTAATTATCTCGTTTGATTGCCTCTGAGAGTACCATGAAAACAAGTGGACGAGAATAAATTCAAAATGGTGAAAACGAGCTCCAAGTCATCTCATCATAAGGTTACCAACAGGTTTAAGGTAAGTCGTGATTGCCGCATGTTTACTGAAATCTGAATGAGTGAATGACAGACACGGTGTGTATGTAGTCGGTGTTTACCGATTAGCCTAAGAGTCTGTGCATGGACAGTGCTTTTGCGACATCAAGCGTGTTCGCTCTAGCCTAAAGGGCTTGCTGATAATTTAACAGCAAGAACCGTCTGGTATGAGGAATTCTTTAATAAAACTGACATCTGTCAACCTTCCACATACACAAACAGTACCCTTTGCTGTACCCACAAAGGGGAGGCAGAGTAAACAAGCGATTTTCACCGATAACCGTTGAAAAAATTTCTCCCTGGTTTTTCTTAATTTTCTGATTCATAAACCATGTAAACAGTAGGGGGGGGGGGGGGCGCTGGTCCGAGAATAAGGATTGTCTTCATAAACGAAGATCGTCTTTGTAAACGTGGACCAATGCGTCCTCAAAAACGAGGATCGTCTGCAAAAAGGCCAATGTTCCATATTTTTGATCGGCACATTGGCGATGCAAAAAACAGATTCCGGGATGATTTCTTGATGCATTTTACATTGACTTTGTACAGAGACCTTCACATTATGAGCGATAAATCCTTGGGAAGACGGACAACCCATAAAAGTAGATGGTCAACTAGGGTTATTTTCCCCTAGGGAATCCAAATTTGGCATTGCCAGCGGGCGGTTCGGTAACCCGAAACCTGCAGAGCGCCGATGAAAAAAAACGTCCGCGAAAATGCAGACGATCCTTGTTTATGAGGACGCATTTTGTCCGCGTTTATGAGGATATCCTCGTTTATGAGGACGATCCTCATTCTCGGACCAGCGCCCCTACTGATAAATCGAGCTTGACAGAAATGTGGTCAAGATATTTTCTAGAATTCTGAGATGAGGACCCTTTGGAAATATTGAGAAAGACCTGCTCTTTCATATGACATCTCATTGATTGAGTATTATTACCTTCATGATCACAAGCATTAATTGTTCAAAAAAAGAAAATAACTACCAAATAACAAGAGAGAAGTCTGTTGTATGATAAAAAAAAATTGATGGTGATAATATTAATAGTCAAAATTGGCTGATTGCCATAAATCCTTAATCAACAACAACAGATGTAGTCTCAGTGGAAAAACCGTTGATATCAGAGATTGATTCTCGGTCTAGTTGACAATATTTGAAATAGAGTAGACCTATGGCCTGGTTTTTCATTTTGTGTATGACAAATTTTGTGATTTTTAAAAATGTGTACAAGAGCATGCCTGCCTCGCCAATAACCACGATCCTCTAGGATATTTGAAAGCCATGATTGTATTTTGTTTCTTTGTTTCTCATGAACAGTTTGAAAGCTTCTCGGAGCAGATAGCTCGTATCAATATCGATGTCATTCACAGGAGTAAGAAGACGCAGAGCGAGCCGCAAGTAAGTTAACTTATTAATTAACCCTCCTGGGGGGGGGGGGGGGGGGTGTTTCACAAAGAACCTAAGTCAAACTTAACTCTAGGTTGGACTTCAAAAATTATAGAAAGCCATTTGTAGCCTTAAGATAAATATAGTCAAAAGCAAAAATTCAAGTATTTTAGACTTTTTATAAATTCCACATCAAGAACATGAAATGTCCTTCATTTCATGCCTTTAAAAATAACCTTTACAAATCACTGTAGATGCTAACGGCTTTCTATAATTTTTAAGTCCAACTTCGGGAAAATTTCAACTTGGCATCTTTGTGAAACACCCCCTGGACAATTGCATGAAGATTTTCAATGCATTACAGTCTGATTGGACTTAATAATGGCCTGTTTGTTTTCTTGAAATCTTGAAACTAATTTTACAACGGTGCATAGCGATATCTAGAAGTTACATTATTTCATTTACACAAGTTAAATTATTGTTTGTAAAAAGGTAGCCATGTATTTAAAGCAGAACAGTACAAAAACTGGGCCTGTTGCACAAAACTGCCCATTGATGGTAACTTTGCCATCAATGGTTACTATCATGGAAACCTTGATTTTGATTGGCTGTTGAGCCCTGTTACCATGGTACATGTAGTTGCCATTGATGGCAAAGTTACCATCAATGATAAGCTTTATGCAATAGGGCCCTGATCAGTGAAAATTCAAATAAAATAAGACTCGGGTAAAGTTTTGAATTTATTTTGAAAGTTTTGATGACCTTTATTCTGAGCTTGATTGGTAATGTGATTGACAAACTGTTTTGTACTTTTCACTAACCATTAGATTGGGACTATACGCTAAGTCTTAAAAACATTTTGCATACAAAGTGTGAAAATGTATTCATTTAATATGAAATGAAGTGGTATGTTGCACATAAATGTATTGTATGTTATTTTATATTATTTCATCCTGTTTTATTAGATATGGTGACCTTTAATAATAATAATAATATTTAATTTTTATATTGCGCTTAATACAAATGTCTCTAAGCGCTTTACATATATACTATTGCCCCGGTCATTGGATTCAGTGCTTGCCCGCACACACTGTGTGCACAATCTCCACTCCCTGGGGAGCACTCCAGCCAGGCATTACATGACCTTTTGCCACTGATTACATTAATTTTTTTCCCCTTCAGGATGCTGATTCCTTCTTTGCTGAGGGTTTGGCAAAGTGGAGGGAGCTCAATTGCACACAAGACTTTGGTAAACAAAAATTGTTATTTCTAACTTTTATAAATGTAATGCTTCCTGGGAGAAATTTCAATTATTTAAACATATTTGTTTGATTCAAGTCCCGCTGGTTCCAAGATTTTTTCTGACTTGTTTTTCAATACAGATCGATCAATCGATCTCATTTACTGGGTGTAAGCCACAAATATGTTTAAATAATTGAAATTTCTCCCTGGAAGCATTACATTTATAAAAGTTATTATTGTCCTATGGTGGACTAGTGAATATAAATAAGTCAGAATGAATCAGGAGAGCTTGGGTATTTGTTTCTAGTTCATCGTGACTGTGCCATGCACCAGTGATAGCCTAGTGGTAGAGTCGCTGCCCGGCAAGCAGTAGATGCAGGTTCAAGTCCTGCTGGTTCCAAGATTTTTTCTGACTTGTTTTTCAATACAAATCGATCAATCAATCTTATTTACTGGGTGTAAGCCACAAATATGTTTAAATAAATTTTATTTCTGTATGCAACTCACTTGATTGTGCACTTGCACATGTTAGAAGAGTCATAAAGGTTTATTCATTTCATTTCATTTCATTTCATTTATTTCATTCTCCATAAAAACATTAAAACATACAAACATGATATACAGATAACGATCGATAACAAGAAAAATACAAACGGAAGGAGCAAACAAAATTTGATGTGAATGTGGGGTTAACAATAAGGGCAATTAGCCTTATGAACGTCAACCCCTTAAAAAATATACACTGTATTGTTGAGAAAAGAAAAGCAGAGAAAACCTAAACACCAATACAAAAGGGGAAAAAAAAAGAAAGAAGAAGGAAACTTGACGTCATTTATTTTGAGATTGAATACAATGATAGAGTCGTATTCTGATATATTGGGGCGTTGTTTTGATAATATGCAAATGAATGGCAACTGAAGGCAACAACGGTCCTATATGCGTATTCACTTGTGAACTTATAAGATATAGAAATGTGAAGGTCGTTGAACTAATGTCAAGGTCATTGAACTAATGTGAAGGTCATTGAACTAATGTCATTATTGAAGAGAAAAACAAAACGCTGTGGTATACTCCTATTGAATAATTTTGTTGTTAAATTAATCCTGAGTTGTATATGATTTCTGCTAGTTTCGCTTGCAATGTAGTAACAATATCAGATATTTTTATAGCACATATCCACCATTCAAGATGATCAACAGGCTGCAAAATGTATCAACTAGACGACAACACGTCTGTAGTTCCAATAATAATAATAATAATAATAGTGGAGTCTTAGATAGCGCTTGTAGTGCTGCAACAGGGATTCGAACCCTGTACCGTGTATAGCTTTAATATTCGTAATCTTACTTAAATTGTTGAAAGTCTAAGAGAGCAGCGCCTTGTATCCTTTGAAAAAGGCGCTATATAAATCCAATTATTATTATTATTATTATTATTATTATTATTTCCCTCTCATTTCCAGTTAACTTCAGCCATGAGATATCGGAGCAGGTTCAAAGCTTTGCTCAGTTAGTCCACTTTGAAGACCAGATAGTCTCATCTCTCCAGACCCATCTTAAGGTTCCTGACAGCATGGCTTACATTCCACTACTAGAGTAAGTCAAATTGGAAATGTGTTGTTTTAAAGGGATTGTTTAACAATGTTAAATCTGAGATGCACGGCCCTACGTGTTATCAGTGTCCGTGATGTGTAATTTTGAAGTCCTAAAAAAATTGTGCTTCAAAACGATCAAGAAGTGCCTCAAAAAAGTAAAAATCTATGAGTGACCGGTTTTACAATACTCGTTTTTCCCAATAGACTGTAGTGTTATGAAAACTGTTTGGCAAACGCTAAATTTGGTTTTGATTTCCAATCATAAATATCTTGATAATTAGACAGGCGATCAGCTTGTAAAATTCATGGGGTTCCTGACTGACCTAAAGGTTTATACTTATCATTGCAGCGTGAGCTAAATCCAGGATTTTGTTTCAGAATCTGAGACAAACTTACAGGATCCCTTTAAAGGCAGGGTTATCTACTGACACTACTTCAGATTTACATGGAGGTATACTGCCCTCTGCTGTCAACAGCCTTGTCCCACAATGCATCAGTCACATCTGCATAACAAGCCAGTGATGATGCTTGGGTACAGGAATGGGAATTCACTCTATTTACGCCATTTATGTACTACTCCTTTTATCGTTATTTTTATGTTTGCATTAAACAGTATAATTGTTAAGTAGCTTAGCGCAAATGTAGTGGCATGAAAAGACGTGTCTAAACGCAAAATGCACAATTTTTGGAAATCATATGTTTATCACATAAAGTTAGAACCACATCATTATGTTATATACATGTAGCTGGTAAATACAGGTACCATCTCGACTAGGCTTCATGTTATCTAAACTGTCATTGAGATATGTCAATACAAAACTTTTAATTAACAAACGTCAGTATTACCTATAGCGTTCCAGATGCATCTTCTTTGTGCCACTACATTTCGCTCAGCTGCCCCAGATGGTCATCGATGAGTTCTGACCTGGCCCTGTTTTCATAAAACTTGCCATCAATGACAAATGCTAAAGTTCTATGACAAACTTGCTCACAGCCAATCAAATGCCATGATTTTGGTAGCTTCATAACACTATTGATAACAATTTTGGTGAAACAGGCCCTAGCCTTTACACTGAACATTTGACCTGTTTACTCAATACAGCCTTGTGGTACAGCTCGCCAGGGATCTACAGACGGATTTCTACCCACATTTCAAAGACTTCTTTGAGATCGTGGTCTCACTCTTGGACACTCAGGATACGGAGCTGATAGAGGGCGCTTTCCAGTGTCTATGTTACATGTTTAAGTTTCTCTGGAGGTATCTGGTCAGGGACATTCAAGAAGTGTACAAGTAAGCCCCCCCCCCTCCCCCATCATTTTCATGTCATCTGCTTTTTTGAGAATGATCTGTTCCATTTTTATGCAATCAGAAAATATTAGTCAGGACATATACATGTAGCAAAGAATCATAATATTAAAAGACTTATTTGATTTGCATATTTTTAGTTTTTTTCAAGAGTAGAATGTACTTGCACTGGGTTAATTCGCAATGAGCATAACATGAACTCTGCAAAAGCATCATATCGTGTTTTAAAAGGTACCAATCACCTAAACCTGTTTTGGTCTTGATGTCCTGCCATTGGTCGTGCTATTCTGTAGTCACACTATAGGCGGTGTCACACAGAAAAATCCTGTCCCATCTTGAATAAACCAGATTTTAGAAATCTAGTATTTTCATTTACGTCGGTGACAGACTGGTGACAGACAGGCTACGAATAATCCGTTTAACTTAAATCCGGATTTTTGGCCTCTGTGTGACACCGCCTTATGAGTCTATGAGCTTCAAATATTTCATCTCCAGAGAGAAATGCAGTTTAAAGGTGATACAAGTTTTGGGAAATTTTGAAAATTAGGTGGATAGTGATTCTTTACAATTTTGATATATTTGGATGCCCCTGTGGATATATTATAAGCACTAGAAAATTTAGCCCCTAAAACACTTCTGCTTTTAAGAAAAATTAAATATAAAAATTTACCAGTGCTCCCGGTAAATCAATTTTGATAATTTTCAAATAGCGCTTATGGCCATACAATAGTATGAATATCTCAGAATATGTAGTTGTGATATATAATTTCCAAACGGGAATAGCTAATCGGTCGATTTTAGTCAAGAAACATTGTTTTATAGCTTAATTAATATCTTGACCTTGAGAGGGAGCTATACAAGATAAAGAGTTTATTATTTACAATTTCATAACTCTAGATTTGATTTCAACCGTGACACTGATTATTGAATATTGTAGGATCGCATGTGCTTCCAATATGTTCATTTGAACCAAATTCATGACCCCATACCAAAACTTTGTATTACCTTTAAAGGCATCGTTTTACAATATTAAATCGGAGATGCACGGCCCTACTTGATTTCCCCAATAGACTGTAGTGTTATGAAAACCGTTTGGCAAACGCAAAATTTGGTTTTGATTTCCAATCATAAATATCTTGATAGTCGGACAGGCGATCAGCTTGTAAAAGTCATGGGTTCCTGACTGACCTAAAGGTTTATAATTATCATTGCAGCATGAGCTAAATCCAGGATTTTTTTAAAGGATCAAGGACAAAGTTATTGGATCCCTTTAAATGCACTCAGAGCATGCCAAGTGAACTGTGATACATACACCTTGTTGACTTTGTAGACTACCGTACACCTGTGTACACACTTGCAAGGGAAAGGTGAAAAATATATTGTGAAGTTTTTCATCCTTTTGATATTGGAGTGGAAGAGTGTCGTAGAAAAAAAAAAGTACCCTGGAATGAATGGCTCTTGAAATATTTGAAATGTGACAAATACCAGCTGTAGGTTGTGGACAGTACTCTCATGCCACATGTTTGTGTAGTCCCACATAAACATTTTTGTGTACCGAGCATGTGACTGTTAGCAAGACTGAGCCACGTTCTTATAATTTTGATGATTCCAAAACCTTAGGCCTAAAATAAAAACTTGTTGTATTGCCCTTTTTTTAAAAACTGGTTTTTTAGATTTTTTTTTTATTAACGAATACAAAAATATGTATTTTGTTTGTTCAAATGGGATATAAATGCATAAAATCAAATTATTCCAAAACTCTCAATCGTGCAAACCATGGATAATTATGAGGTGAAAAAGATATCAATGGAATGATGACGCTGCAACACATGTATTAAAGCATTACAAACTGAGAAATATCAGCCAAAAGAGGGCGGGAAAAAACAACAACAAACAAACAAAAACATTCAAATCTGAAAAATATCGGCCCAAAGAGGGCGACAAAAAAAAGTTTAAAAAATGTTTTGGCACCCAAAGGGCAATACAACAAGTTTTTATTTTAGGCCTTACAATACAAACCAATATTATGTGCTAATGAGCATGTAACTGTTAGCAAGACTCAGCCAATTTTTGATGATTCCAAAACCTCATAATACACACCGATACTTATGTGCTACATAAGAAACCTTTTCTTTTGGCTTCAACTGTTTATTTCACAATGCCATTGCTTGACGAATACCGTACTTAACTACATCTTTTTTTAAATACAGGATGTATTCTCCACTGTTGGCCGAGGATCGTAAGGAGCATGTGAGAAGGTTTGCTGCCGAGAGCTTTGCTTTCATCATGAGAAAGGTCAAATGTCATGGAGAGTTATTTGACTACATGCTTGGTACCCTACAAGACAATCCACAGGTGAGCCTTAAAGGCTTCTTCAAATCAATTTGTGAGAGTTTCTTCCGATCTTGTTTGACAGTATGGTTCGAGTGCCAATATCTGTGTCAGCATCCTTAGTAGTAGTAGTAGTAGCTCTATACAGAGCGAATTTATTTTTCAGTTCTTGTCACATATTGAAACAATGACAGACAATAATAAACGTAATGATGTAGTGAGCATTGAAATATCTTTGACATTATTTTTGGTCATTGTAATGCAAAATGATTTGGCCACAGGAAATGAAAAAAACAAACCTACTTGAAAGCAATGCTTGTAAGGTGTAGGTTTGCACATTCATAATTAAACTTGATACATTGATAACATAAAAAAACATGACAGACAATAACAAACAAACAATTAAACGACAAAAACAAATCAGAAACAGTAGCAGAATGACAAGATGAGGATGATACATGAAGAAAATAAGAATGAGAGAGTGATAAACAGAAGAAGGGGGAAAACATGCGACCAACACAAACTTTCCGTCTCTGTTTTAGCGATACAATGTCATTAAAAAACCAACTAAAAGTAGTAAATGTCTTATTTTATCACTTTTATTCAATTGCCTCAAAATGCTATCTTTCATGTAAAAATTTCCTGAACTGTGTGTCCAGTGAATGAGAGTTCAGACATGGGAACCTTTGTTTTTGCAATGTCAAAATGACACCACCAAATGTTTTTGTGTGTTGAAATGACATTGTGCTTGCTCGAATTTTGACAACATTTTCGGCACACATACTCTCTAGAAAATAAGGAGTATTAAAGATGTTATCAAGTGTTCAGAGAATACAATAGAAAATTCTTGTAAATTCAAGTGAAATGTAAGGTGTTCAGACATAGAAGTCTCATTCATTCATTTAGTAGTTGCTCAATACAAAGCGAATTTCTTTTTCATTTCTTTTCACATGATATAAACAATGACAGACAATAATGAACGTAATGATATAACAGAAATAAGCATTGAAATATCTTTGACATTGTTTTTTGATCATTGTAATGCAAAATGATTTGGTTACAGGAAATGAAAAAAAAACGAACCTACTTGAATTCATTCTCAAAGATTCTCCACTTCTTTGTCCTTATTATAGCAAGCAAAAGGGCTGGGTCATCTGCTGTTTGACATGCTGAAAGGAGTGAGACATCAAACACATTCTGCAACCGAAAGGGTATGTATGATTATACAAATAATACACAGCAGTGAGGGCATTAGTCAAAATTACCCACACAAGGTACCTTTGGAACAGTCTAACATAGCCAAGGGTGTTTGGACTGTTTTGAAGGTACTGAGTGTGGCTAATTTTACTAATGCCTGAACAAAATGATGTGTTTTATTTGTTTTATAAGATGATATTATTTATATTATTTGTTTTATAAAATGATGTTTTATTTGTTTTTATAACATGATGTAACTAATGACCAGTCATTAGTAAAATTATGTGTTAGGCAAAATATATACTTTCACGTCTTGCATAGAAGGTAACGGTACTGGGAGAGCGTTACACAGTTTTGGCCCTCCACATGCCTGTGTTCTGTCACGATAGGTCTTTATTGCTTACCTGTTTGGCTATATTGTCTCTATGATTTGATTTCAGATCTTACCAGTATTGCTATGTAGACTTGGTCCTTGTCGCCGTGGTACTGAGAATGCAGCCAATCTTCCTTGGGACCTGGTCCTGGATTGTTTCCATGAAATGTTCAGCTGTCTGACTAGATACCTGAAGAGAGAATACTCTGAGGTGATCTGGAATGCCTTATTGGTGAGTGCATCCGCTTCCTCCTACTTCACCAGGGGGGTGTTTCACAGAACTCGTCTTCAGTGACAAATGACAGTTTCTGTTATAAGCTACTGAAATCCTTGATTCTGATTGGTTATCAGCAGATTTGTCACTGTTTTTTGTCATTTGTCATTGAAAAAAGGCTTTGTGAAATGGGTCCCAGGGGTGTTTCACAAAGATCCCAAGTCAAACTTAACTCTAAGTTGGACTTGAAAGTTTTGGAGAGCCATTTGCAGCCTCAAAATAAAATATATTTGAAAGTGAAAATTCAAGTATTTTTAGACTTTTTATCAATTCCATATCAAGAATATGTACCGGTAATCACCTTGATAATAGAAAATATGAATGATTTGAATCAAAATTTTATGCTTGTTAAAATAACTTTTACAAAATATTTTCATAGATGCTAACGGCTTTCCATAATTGTTAAGTCCAACCTAGAGATAAGTTCAACTTAGAATCTTTGTGAACCCCCCCCCCCCTTGCTGGGGTTTTATTCTTAAAAATGATTCAATCGCTTATGTTAGCAAAAACTGTCGTAACAAATCAATATTTTGGACGAGTCATTTGTTAATGTCTGCACAAAGCTGGCTGTGTTTGCTTTAAGTTAAAAGAGACGTCCGCGCAATCTAGTGCTGTAAGTCAGACGCTATGTTCGTGTTCGGTTCGGTTCGGCAGATTTCGGCAATTTTTCACCTGAACTTGGTTCGGTTCGGGGTTCGGTAATATAATAGCAAGCAGCGTTATAGCCTCGGCGGTCGGCACTGGGCGGACCGCCCGCCCTGCCGGGCCCGACCAGCACGGAGGACTGCTGCACACTGCTTCCGACCAGCACGAATTTCACATTAAAAAACTGCTCTAAACGTAATCATTTGTGAAGAAGAATACTACTTACATTCGTATTTCCGTCTTGAATCGTGTTTTATTTTCAATTTTAAAAGAATAATGTTTTTAATTTGTCGATAAATGATATTTTTTAAAGATTTTCCGAGACGGTTTTTGTCTAATGTTAGAGTCTTTTTTTATTATCAAATTGGAAAAATATAAAATCCCTATTTTTCCTGAATAAATAAATACCATACTATAATATATATTTATTTCATTAGATCTATTTATATTGTAAAATTTGTCTGATATGGTTACAATTAAAATATAAATTTTTTGTTGAATGGGTTTGAGCTGAGCCTGTTTTGATCACGCACATGGTCTTGTTTATGGCTTGCGATCGCGACGAAGCGTGGTCAGGATTTGGGATTTAAATGGTGCCAGTGAAGTTGCGTCCACCACTGGATAGGCATGAATCACAAAGGCGGAAAATGGGAAAAAAGTAAATATAAAATGAGCAATCATGACATGAAAATTAGGTACAAAATGACAAGTTTATTAGCTTGCAAAAACGTTTACATTTTTCTGCCGAACATCCGAACCAGGCCTTTGCGTTCGGTTCGGTTCGGTTCGGTTCGGAAGTGCCATGTTCGGTGAACTTCCGTTCGGTTCGGCGGTTCGGCTACAGCACTAGCGCAATCACCAATGTTAGAGCTCGTCTGCACTAGTTTGGCCAGGAGGGGGATTAGACCTTTCTGCATGGTCACAGACGGGTGGTTATCTCGTCATATCAGCTCTCAATTAACCCTTACTGTACTGGGGGGGGCCTGGGAGGCCCCCCCCTCGACATTTTCGGAGATCGCGCCGCAACCGCTCGGAATTTCGAATTGTCGTTTCATTACTTTTTTCCCTCAAGTCTTACGCACATTTTGATACCATTTTCGTCGAAATCGGATATACCTGTAAGGTGTTACATAACAATTAGTATGCGCATGTCATCAAAAAAGTGCTATAATTGCATATATTCATGTACAAGCAGAAATGTGAAGATATGAATTGATATCAAATTGCTTTTATATGTTTCTCAAAGTAACTTGATGTATTTTAGAACAAAAGAATACATTAGAAATAAAACAATAGATATAATAACTAATAAAAAACAATGAAATACATAAGAAAATAAAAAGTTGAAAATCGGATTAAATTTGCATAAATTATCATTATTAATTACATCAAATAACTATTTTGTGTTAGAAAAGAAGTTTCATATAAATAATGAGTTTCAACATTACAAAAGTGGAGTCTGACAATTTTTGTAATGATTCTAGTTCCCTGTTTATTTCCAGATTAGATATTCATGAATGCGTAATTTGCGTATTCATAATTTATGCAAATTAACCTATGCATTTTCAAATATCATAAAAATAATGAAACCTCATGAATTTGAGATGAAGGAAACATTCAATACATTTTCAAGATTCTTCACAAGTCTACGGACAAATATGTAGAGTTTTCTGTAAAATGCATAAAATTAGCATTTTGCATAATTAATTAGGCTATAACGACAAAAATGTGCATATTAGGAAAAAACTAATTATACCATCTTGTTCCTTACGTAAATATCTACAAACATGCAAATTTTCGCGTTCATCGGACTTTCGACGGCCGAGATCATAGGGGGGGCCTCCCAGGCCCCCCCCCCCCCCAGTCAGAGAGTGCTCGAAATAGCCCAGTACAGTAAGGGTTAACATAAGAAAAAGGGGATCATGGGGGACCAATGGTTACCGCTTAGGCATTGTTTGCTATATAGAGGGCGCAAGTAGCTATAAGTGGTGCAGTGGGGCTTTAAGTGTTAGTTCCAAGCATTTGAGTTTGTTATGACAATTACTGGTGACATTGTTTTGCTAACTTCCTTTTCCCCAGCCTAAAATATAACATCTTTTTTAGAATACAGCCTCAGGTAGTTTATCTGAAAGAATCAAATTCAGTAAGAACCTCATAAGAAAGAAACCTTCATTGTATTTTGCATAGAAAAAAAAGTATTATTTTCATTATTCGGAGTAGTACTAGTAAGCAGTAATTTTTGGTGTTGACGGTGATTTAGATGATTTTTGATATGATTGTGAAGGTGGTGGTGGTTTTTATAAGGAAAAAAAAAGGTTCTCATTTGCAGTATTGCGATCGCGATTGCCAGTGGTGATCACGATGGCAAGACTGTGAGTAATTTCTGTTTCCAGCTTTATAACATTGTGAAAATAAAGATTTTAGAGGTAAAAAACTACTTTTTGATATATTCAATCCCAATTTTCAATGATCAAAGATGTTGAAAAACTTACTTCCACAATACAAAGACGATTTTTCATTGTTGCAAAATGTGTTATTTAAGCACATTTTCTTCATAGGTTTGCTCTATTTTAATTGCTTTTCAGTTAAATGAAAACTGCTACAATTTTAACCATGGTTAAACAGAAAACAAAATAAATGAGATATGCACAGCACTAGTGGTACATGTAGCTGTAGTCATTAAAACTTCAAACATGTATATACCGGGTAATATTTTTTTTGGCAGAATGAGGCATCATTTCTTGAAGGCAAGATTGGTTCTACTTCTCAGTTGGACAGCTTAGTTCAGATCATAGATCAGATGGCTAAATATGGCAATGGAAGCTTGATTGCTAATCCAAGACAGCTGAGTCAGGTATGTATGCTAGCACACTACCATGAATTATTATAAGGTAAAGACCAGTTTTGGAAACGCCCCCCTCTCAAAAAATGAAATGAAAGCTCTTATTACCAATCATGTGAAAGAATATGTTTTAACTAATACATGATGATAAAAATTTTGCCGGGAAACCGCCTACTAGTTGATATATTTGGTAAATTATTGTATCTATACGTGTCACGCACGTGTCGCGTAGTCCCATATTATACATCTTTCTGTGTACAGTGCTTGTAACTTTACCAAGACTGGGCCAAATTTCTTATTATTTTGATGATTCCAGAACCTTGCAGTACACACCAATACTTATATGATAGATGATCAACCTTTTCTGATCAATTCCACATTTTGCCACACTCAACCCAGGTGATGTAAATGGGTACCTGGCAGGAATTAATTCCTTAAAATGCTGGAGCGCTGTATATACAGCAGCTAGGCTAAAGCCGGGGTAATAATAATGCGCCTCGGAATAGAATTATCTAGATAGACGGCGCTATAGAAATGCCTATTATTATTATTATTATTATTTTATTACTACTATATATTATTTTTATTTATTGTGTCTCCTAGAGAGTGGTAGAAGCTGTGACCAAACAATCTCTCCCCGAGGTCTATGGGGGAACAGTGCTGAATCTGGTCTCAAGTCTACTGCAAGCAACGAGAGGGAACATACATCAGGATGATATGACAGCTCTCATCAACTCGGTAAGAACCATTCAGTAAGATACCCAAGGATGTCGATATTGGGTGGGGGGGGGGGTGTGACAAACCCCATTAGATTGTTGATGTTGTTGGGAAATGGAACAGTTCAGATGGGCGTTTCACAAAACTTGTCATCAGTGACAAATGACAATTTGTGTTATAAGCTACTGAAATCCTTGCTTCTGATTGGTTATCAGCAGATTTGTCACTGATTTTGTTATCTGTCATTGAAAAAAGGCTTTGTGAAACGCCCCCCTGGACACAAGCTCATGAGGTCGAGGGTGATCTTTTTAAACATTTTTATTACCACTTATGTCTATTCTAAAATCAATTCCTTTATATGTTTCCACATATATTGTACTTTAACAATATGTTCTTTATGCTGTATTTTTGTTCAAGACATCATTCTTATGCCCTGCATCTAAGAGTACCGGTAATTGGGTTTTGCCCTTGGCTTTTTTATGTCTCCTTTGTTGTGCAATTTTGATCAATAATGTGATGCTTAAAAAAAAAGATATTGTTATTTGTTTCTGTAGGTATATCACAGCAACTACAGCAGTCAGCTAGTCTTTGACTTCAGCCGCTCTGTCTTTGACATCAGTAGCTTTGAAGAGGTACAGTATTCTAGTAGAAAAGTAGAAATTATGGTCAAACCTGCTTTAGTGACCACCTGTCTACAAAGACCACCTTTCTATAAAGACCATGATTTTCATTCACCTTAAAAATGGTTTCTCATTTAAACATGTACTAGAAACACCAGGGACCCGTTCCTAGACACCGTCATAAGTCTAACTTCTTGACTAAATCAGACTAAATTCACGAAGCCCTCTTTGCTAACATCAAGGACAACATCCTGACTAAGGAGTTATGACGCCTTCAACACCGTCATATCTTTTCGTAACCAACGGAGAGCGCCAACAGCGTCAATTTTACTTAATCTATGGCAAGCGATATAAAACAATATTTAATGTTTGCTCCTCTTGACTTTCGGAATTCTCTCCTCCCTCCCCCGTTAATCATTACATGTAACTTTTATTTTCATACCTCATTCACTGCTGATGTTGCTTTATTCTATGTTAACTCTTTCTTCAACTATCCTTTGCTCATAGCATTGCCATATGCCAATATAATGATAATAATAATAACCTAGGCTTCTATAGCGCATTTCATCTTCGAAGAAAATAAAAATGCGCTTTACAATATTAATACAACAAAATTATACATAACTACTAATTCATGAACTAAAGAAATATCAAAATAAGGACAAGATTAATAATAATCAATCATTATAGATATTTGTCCAGCTAGGTGCTGACAACAACAAAGGTAATAAGCTTATGTCATTTTAAGCTGCCAATTCTTTATTCGTCAATCAATGATATAGTTTGCATTAGGAACACACTCACTAATCATCATATAGCTGCCTGATTAGATCGGAGCAGATTTGCCTCCCGTTTCCATCGGCAAGTGCATCAGCCTGCGCGAGTTAGCCATCGTCATCTTCTTGTTCATCGTCGATGGCCACGTCATTGGGAAGATTGTTCATGATACAGATGTTGTGCAATACCGCTACCACCACAAATAATCTGCATACCCTGTCTGGGGAAAATTGCAGTCCTCCACCCGAATTGTCTATACACCGAAAATGCGCCTTGAGGACGCCGAATGACCTCTCAATAACACAACGTCCCCTTCTATGGTGGATGTTGTATCTCTCCTCGGAGCGCGATGTAGGGTTGAGGACAGGGGTAAGGAGGGGGCGCAAGGGGTAGCCACTGTCACCAAGTAGACGGCCATTGAAGCCCCTGGAACATTGTACTTGCCCCAGAGTTCTGCCAGATATACGAGTCGTGGGAAGAACCGGGGTAGCGGGCACATACATCCAGGTACCACAAGTTAGCATCGCAGATGCATTGAACATTCACCGAGTGGAAGTTCTTTCTATTGACAAACAAGTGCTCATCAACCGACGATGCCTTGATTCGAATGTGGGTACAGTCTATCGCCCCCACCACGTTTGGAATTCTGCAGATATCACTGAGGGATTGTTTAACGTGTATAATGCCATCTCTGTTGTTAGGGAAATATATATCTTGACTCGAGAAACGTCCCTGACATTCCTACTTGCTGATGATTTACTTACTCTTCGCAGATCGCCGGTTACTGTATGGAAGTTTCCGGTGGCAAAGAAGCGAAGTGACATAGTTATCTGGATGGACACAGGTAGAGCCTGGGTGCGACAAGTTGGGCGTTTCAGATCCTCATCCAAGAGTTCACAAAGATGAAGGATTAGGGCTTGTGGAAGACGGTATCTCGCTATGATCTCTGCGTCGTTGTACACGCCTAGGGGATTGGTCCTGTCCCTGAAATTCTTTGCCTCCGAAGGTTGTGGCGATAGGCAAAAAGAATTAAAGCCATAATAATAATAATAATAATAATAGAGTATATTTATAAAGCGCATAATAAATTGTGAATTTCTCTAAGCGCTTTACAGTTTTGTACAATCATAACAAATTTGAATATATAAACAACATTAAAACAACAATAAATAAAAAAAATAGAAAGCAAATGACAAAAAATATTTATGAGAAAGTAAACCATTTAATGCACCTATAAATACACCTACAAAATTAATTGACATTACATGAACAAATTCAACAAACAGACATACACTCATCATGCCGAATCAGCCTCCCAACCAGAAACGGACAAAGCAGCTCTAGGAGTGATTAGTAGTGTCTTTTTTCTTATTATTTGCAGTCACTTTATTACATTATAGACAATTAACCAACATAACAAGGTACAACAATTTGGATGAAGAGGTACCATTTGCTTAGAGGGACTCTTTCTATTACCTAAATTTCCTCCTGACTCCATCTTCAGGTCATGTTAACATGTTGACTCTTTTAATTTACCAAATTTTCACAGGTGTGTCATGTAAATGTGTATTAAATTATTTGCATTTTCAGAATGTTTTCTTAACCATATAAAATATATTAAACATTGAAGTTATTTCCAATCGTTTTGTTTTCGCATTTATTGAAATATTTACAGTTTCATTGAAATTTCATTTTCAAAATATATGGGTTACCGTGACAATGACTATGTAGTATCTCTCATCCTCTCCGATAGTATCGGTAACATGCAATGTCTTGCTAGTAAGCTCTTTGTGAAATGGTTCAGGAAGATCACAGACATCTCTGTGGTTGGTGGATAATAATAATAATAATAATAATAATACATAACATTTATTAGGCGCTTAATACGGGTGTTTCTAAGCGCACCATTGTCTGACTTAAAATTATCAACTAAAACTAATAATAAACACAACAAAAAATCTGTTCTTTATTCAATAAATCATGCATATATAATGACAAAAATAAAAATGAGATCAAACATAATGTCAAACATAAGATCAAACAAAAGATCAAGGTGCGTTTTCAGCAAGGACTTAAACTGGTCAAGAGAATGAGTATTGTGAATATTCGCTGGTAAATTATTCCAAAGGCAAGGGGCATTTACTGAAAAAGCTCGATCGCCATATTTTGTAACAGAATGAGGTCCAAGGGTTAACTGCAAGGTTGATGATGACTGTCTTGTCGTTGGTTTCTAGGAACGGGCCCCTGTGTACAAAGACCACTTTTCTTGCCTCCCTTGGGTGGTCTTTATAGACAGGGTTCACTGTATTTTGGTTTATGATAGTTAACACTTCAATTTCTTTCTTCGTTCTGATACTGATAAAGATTATCATTTTTTATGTAAAAGATTCTTTATGTCTTCCTTCATCAAAGCTTTAAACCTAGAACCTAAAAGTAGAAATGTTATGCAGTGTGTATAGGTTTGTATTTACCTCGAGATAAACCAGCATAAAATACCTTGGAAGCAAGAGTGTTGCAATTTCATGTCCATGTATCTTAGAAACCAGAATTTATAAATGTTATCATGCTAATGAATATTGACATTTCGTTTTCAAATAACAGGACGTTTTGCCAGCATTGTGTGAATATTCTCATTCCAAGATGGCTGCCAGTGATCCTGTTACCATGGAGACAATGTTTCTAACATTAGCTGATCTCATTTCTACCAAACGATCCTCCATTGATGTGGGAGAAGACATCGTCAACTACAAACCTTACACCGTGGATTTCAGTCGACAAATACACATCAGGTATGAATATTTAAATTATTATTATTATTATCATGTTTATTCTCTTGGATGTAGTAAGGTGAAGAGGAAACGAGGGTCGAAGGCTATTATTATTATTATTATTTATTATTATTATTACTATTATTATTAGTATTGTTATTATTATTATTGTTGTTGTTATTATTGTTGTTATTAATTATTATTATTATGATGATGTTTATTGTCTTGGATGTAGTAAGGTGAAGAGGAAACGAGGGAAGGCGGCTGATGTACTGAGTGTACCTGGATACCTGTCATCCTACCTGCTATGTGATGATGATGATCAGAAGGACTCACTTCACTGGGCTGCTCTAGCATGCATCCCACATGTCAGGTAAGATGTTAATATTTATTATTTATTTGTTCAGTTTTTATATTTAAACAGGGTAGCCCCGTCAGTAACAACAGTACATTTTTCCAGGGGGTCCTGTAAACAAATGCAACATTTATGAAGATACAAACTACTTGAGCAATATAAACAATAGAAACATCATCAAAAACATCAATACATACATGTAGTAACATATAACAGAAAATAAGTAAAGAATAAGAGTGAATAATGAACATAGCCGTAGTAAGAATGATAAATTTCAATGAGCAATTTTAAATCGATAAAAATATACTCTGATTATTATCAATGATCTGTTCAGATTTTAACATATTATTATATTGAGAAATTTATGTAAATATTCATGAAAGAAATAAAGAAAGAAAGAAAGAAAGGCAAATCTATCTTAAACATCGCTGCTTAAAATAGAGAGAACAAAATATTCTTGGTCTGAGCGTTTCGCACTGATTGGGGCAGGCTATTCCACTGAAGAGCAACATCAACTGAGAAGGCATGAGACTTTGAAATTGAAATGGTATTTTAATTATATAAACAAATCCACATGGCAGACCAAGGGCTTAATTATGCAAAGTGAAATCTCAAAAACTGGAATAGCATTTACACTGCAACCAAAGATCGTTGATTTTTTCACGTTCACGCAGAAGTCAAAACAAAAAATTTCACCTAAGGAGGGCGTTTCACAAAACTTGTCATCAGTGACAAATAACACTTTTTGTTATAAGCTACTGAAATACCGTACTTGCTTCTGATTGGTTATCAACAGATTTGTCACTGATTTTTGTCATTTGTCATTGAAAATTGCACTATTTTTGGTAATGTTACAGCGTATGCAGTATATTTCTTGGGTTTACAAGCGAATTTTATATCCATTCCTTTACAGACCAGTCGATAAATCAGATTGCTGTAAGAAACTCAAGGAATCTGTATCATATCTCCTTGATGCAGCTCTGAAACAAGGTCCTGATGATAAAGGTAAGATACCATCTACTCTTAGTTTGAAAGTTATTTGTGATGTTCTTTATAATTAGCAAACAATTGTGTAAATGTCCTTTATATCTTATAATGTTTAGAGTAGACCGTTTTACTAACATGCAAATTGTATGCATAATTTTTAAACAAATGTTGTTGACAACTTGAAAGCTTGCCTGACGCTTGCCCGGCATAGCAACAAGTACTGTTGCGAACTGGATTCCAAGTTTTGTAGTTCATGCATTAATAACAGGGTTCGAAAGATGTTTGTGATTTTGTTTATAATTGGCAGACATACATGGATATTTGTGTAAATGTCCCTCATATCTTATAATGTTTAGAGTAGACCATTTTACTAACATGCAAATTGT